TTTATGGTGTCTGATAAACTTGTCGTGAAGCTTTGCCCCAGTTTTGGCCTTAAGATTTTCTGGTTTTCATCTCTCCCAGGGTACATTCCTTAACCCCTGTTGTATTGCAACATCTGCTCACCTCGGAGACCTGTATGAGCTTGTTCTCATACCATGCTCCCTCTTGCTCAGAAGGACACAAGCCTTTAGGAAAGCAGTGACTTAATGGAGGGAGTTTTACTGCAAACAAATTCTTTTTCTACAGGCCCAGGAGCTGTCTGAAGCAATGCTCCAACTTAAACTGGAAAGTGATTTTTGTAAGGTTAAATATAAGCTGCACAAAGCGTATTCTGCTTCCATAACTTGCTTCAAATAAATCCCTGTGTAAAGACCTGCACTGTCCAAGCCAGTGAGGAAGAAAGATGGATCCTGTGTGCACTCCTCAGTGTATTTCCTTCTGCCTCCGTCCCTCTAGATGTGGCTAAAACGGATCCAGCTCTGCAAAAACAGCCTCTAAGGGAACATTATGTGTCTCGACTGCCTTTGGTTTTGGCTGTGGTTACTCACGTTTGTTGCATGACGGAGGTATTTGGCCTTTACGGACGCTTTGAAGGGCAGGGAGGTTTGTCAGTGCTCCCTGTTTTCGTCCCGAGCTTTCCCTGTGACTTTCTCGGTGCTCCAGGAGCTCTGCAGGAAAAACAGAGTCAGCAAAAATCAACTGAGTGGCTTTGAGTTAGAGCATCTGCCTGCCCCTTGCAAGCTCTAGCGGTGTGAAAACCCACCCGGAGTGTGAACACTTATTTACAGGGGATTTTTTACCAACGTTATACCTCTGGATGGGCAAGTGTGCATGAAGAGTGTTATTTGCACAAGGATGCCTCAAAACTCTGTTGTTCTTACATTTTGGGTGCATCCTTCATCCATGTTCATCTGCTTAGATGTAAAAGTGCAAAGCAGTGGGGAAATGGGGCTGCATAGGAGAGTCTGGAGCGAAAAGAAATGAAGCTGTTCCCTTCCCCAAAGTAACAAGTTTGTCTCTTGCTGAGATCCAGGAATTCTTAGTAACCTGTTGCAGCACAAGCCAGGGCCTCTTGATGACTGTGTGACTCAAAAAACCTAATTTAGTGGCCATTTCATAACATTCTCAGCATAAACACTTACTTCTTCTTTTTTGTCTTTTCTTTATCCGCTACGTGTGCATCTTTTCTCATGCAGGTTTACCTAAACTGCTCCTAAAACTTCCAGCAACACTCTGCTCCCTCCCCAGGGATTTTTTTTTCTAGGAATTAATTCTAAGGTTGTCCTAACGTGTATTCTTGCTGTTATTTGTGTGCATGGCTTCCTGTCCTAACCCTGGTTGTTATGGAAACCAGTATATTTTTGCTGTTTTTTATTTTATTGTGATATAAGATTGAGGCGCTGTCATCTTCAGCCATCTCCACTTGTGACAAAACAACCTTGGTTCCCTTCCCCTTTTCCCAAGGTTTTCTAATTACTCTTACTGCTCCGTACTGTCATGAATTGTGCCCCATCCCTCCTCCAAAACCCTGCCCTGAGGAGGGAAATGAGCATCACATTTGAAAGGAACCAGATAAAACACCTGCCATCAGTGCATTCAGAGTATTCACTTGACTCTTGCACCGTGGTGGACAAATGGGTGTCTCCAAGGGGAGCTGCCCTTGCAGGGTTGTTATCATATGTTTGCAAAAAGATCTCGATTGTAAGAAGGTCTCCGAGGTGTATGTGAACAGTGCCAGAGGAGAACCCGCCGCAGAAAATCCTGCAGAAAACCTCACCTTTCAGGCAGCATCAGATTTTCAACAAAAGGAAATCATTAAAGTCCATTAAAATCCTCCTCCCTTCCATCTCTCCTCCAAGGAAAGGGCAGTGCGGTTTGATGCACGTGTTTGATGTGCATCAAATATAAAGGGATGATCAGACTGACTTTGGTCAGGACTGGGTGCTCCCTGCCTGCCACCAAAATGTGGCACAGCCTGTGTCGATCTGCTGGGTATGATGAACATCAGGATTAAAACAGTTCAGTGCCATGGGGGAGGATAGCTCTTCCTTCCACTTTCCAAGCTGTCACTGAAGTGAAATCCAGGCTCCCTCCTTGGTGGGATAAAACGTGTGGCTGCAAGGAGGGGTTCAGTGACCCTACAGGACTACACCCCTCCATCCTCTCATGATCAGATCCCATCCTGCTACGTTCTCCAATTCACAAGGGTCTTCTGAGCGAACCAGCAAATGCTTTCAGGTCACTATGGTCCTGTGCAGCAATATCCCAGCAGCAAATCCTCTGTGATACCCACGCACAAAGACGGCAGCTTGCACTCCTTGCTTCCTCTTCGCATGGTCCATATGCTCCAAGCTGTTCTGCAGAGTCAGCCCTGCCAATGCAGCTCGCTGCAGATGTGATCTCTGACTGCCCACATGTCGTAGGGCTGCACTTAACGGTTCCTACGCTAGCTCTTCCTCATCTTCACGTTGCAAATGTCCTCTGTTTTCTTTCCGACTTTGCCTCCTTTCAATGGCTCTTCTTCATGAACACCTGGTGAGAGAGTTCTCCTCCCCTCCATAGTCTGTGGCTTCCAACCTCCCCACTCAGGTCACCCAGGTCCATGGCAGCGTAGGACCTCTTAGGTCAGCTCTTGTACGGCGTTTCTGAGGGTGCTTCTGCTCTGTAAAAGAAGTCCTAATTGCCTTCTCTAAATGAGGTGTCAGCCCAGCAGAAAGAGTCACCTGGCTCGTCTTAGTTGCAGAAATGAATGTAGGTGGCACTTGGTTGAGTTGAGAAGACCTTCCCTGGAACAGGGCCCGTAACAAAACCATTACTTCATTATCGTGTTGCCTGCAGAGCACTGACAGTGACATCATGCCACGAAACCGGATAAATACTCCATCAGTTGTGACGTGCTCGGGTCTACAGCCCCAGCCGGAGGGGCAGTTCAGCAACCGCCCCGGCAGCTTCTGTCCTATCGCTTGAGAAAGTCTGTTTTATTCTGTGCAAGGAGATGGGTGTTGCTATCCCGAGAAGAAAGCTCATCTTACCTGCGTGCCTGGTGTTCCGTGTGGGAGGCCTTGCAGAGAGCAGAGTTAGCGGAGTGAGACAGCAAGGACCCCAGCGGGTGTTAGACTCTGCGGGAAGTCTAGCACTAAAATAGGGATAGATTCCCTATCAAAGAACTGAAAGAGGCTTAGAAAGGAAATTCATCTGATACCAGGTTCCCTGAGCTGAATTAGGCTGGCACTTTCAAAGGATTTTATTGGAGACGTCTTTTTAGGCTCTTTGGAGACACATGGAAGGTAAGTTTCTATATAGGAGGGAAGAGCAAGACTCCAAGTGGTGAGTGGGTTATCATTAACTTGGGCTCAGATTTTGGGGGTTTCACCTGAAGGAATGCATCCCGCAAGCTGACAAATCCTCTGCAGAAAGTGGAGACTTGCTGCCTCCTCTTTCCACGTCCTCCTCCTTGTTGTAGAGATTCTGGAGTTGTTCCCATGCTTACAGATGCTGCTTCCTCCTTTCTCTTTGAGAAAATGAACTTTGTCAAAGCCCCAGCATGGGCATTTCACATCAGTCCCTCCATCTCCTCCAAGCTTCACCGCACTCCTTTGCTCTCTGTGAGCCCTCTTACCTCCTATTTCTGCCTCATCATGTTGCCCACATTTGTCATAATCCTCCTTCCCAGCCCATGTCCTGAACTGTCTGTTCTTGTTGCAAAGGGCAGTCCCAGGTGCTGGAGCTGATAGCCAGGCACTCCCCACATCAATGTGATTAACAACACAGCTGTGTGTTCCTTGGGGCATTGGCACAATGTCTCCATAGAGAAGGGACCTTCACTGGCCCCGATGGAAACCCGGTGAGACAACCTTGGCTCCACATAGTCCCGACGCTCCCGATTTCCCCACCTTAATTTCCTAGACAAACAGTAAAGCTGCAAGTAGCAGGAAGTTCTTAATGAGCAGCCAGAAGGGATTACAGAGCCTGGGGCAATTTGTGCAAAGTATCTGGATTTAAATCTCATCTTGTGTCACGCTTTCTAAGACTCATCTTAGCAGTGTCCTGGTGCGCTACGTTTTTGTTTTTGCAGCCAACTGAGCAGAGCAGGATATGGGAATCCCATTCCTAAAGCAAGATTCCCATGGTGTTCTCAGACACAGTAGCATCAGTATTTCTGATATTGCTGGCAGGGAGGCTTGTGAGCTGTTCCCCTTCCCGGGAACATCTGGCCATTCCCATGTCTTTCCCATGTGGAAGATCTGAGGAGGGTCTTCATCACTGGGATAAATGATTTCTCCTATGTACAACGCTGTGACTATGTGGTTTGGCAGGAAGCCCTCTGAAGGACAAAAGAGACAAGTTGCTTGAAAACAGGATGTCACATTTGATGTATCATTAATTTTATTGACCATGACAAACCGCAGATGGGGACACACATCCGCCTGGTTAGACACTTGAATCCTCCTTCTGAGGATTCCCCCATCCCAAGTTTCCCGATTTCCAACAGCAACCCCACAAAGACTTGCCGCAGCTCCAGTCTCCTCCTCACTTCTGCTGAGCTGAACTTTCTAGCACCCAAAGTTACTACTGTTTTTCCCCCCTTCTTATCCCAAGCACTTTTATCTCTCACAGGAGCACAAACAACATTAACACTCCCAGCAATCTGGAAGAAAAAGGCTTTGAGATAAGATTAGCCTTTTCACCTAGATGTTTGTGAAAGTTCTGTGGTTTTTTTCTTCCCTCCTGCTGATGAATTCCACCCCTTAGCAGGCTGGTTGGGGGTTGTTGCATAACAGTTTAGCCACAGCTAATTAACACAAAATTATGCTTGCAACAGGCACAGCATCCAGCATAGTTGCTAAAATTAACATGAGTTTCAAAAGCATCTAGACAAGTTCATGGGAAGTATGTTAATGAAAGGTGGCTATAAATGCATGGACTGTAAAGACACCACGTCTGGTTCCGAAAGTCCTTGAGCTGCAGAGCTCAGAGGTCTGCGAGGGTTTCATGGGGAAACAGCTGCTGTTAGGGACAAAAATGAAGGAATAAATAAATAAATAGATGTCTGGGATGATCTTTGCTTGATGCTCTGTGGTCATTTTTATACTTTTGGCTCATTTGACAGATATATAGTGATGAGCAATACCTGGTCACCCACAGGAGCAGACAACCTCAGGTAGCTTTCCAAAGAATAACATCTAGCCACTCTCTACAAAATAAAAGCTATTTTTCCAGGCAAGTTTCTATGAGCAGAACGGTGAGCTACGAGCAAGTGCGGCAATTAAATTTCTTTAAGTATTTTATAAATTTGCCAAGCACGGGGTCTTTCTGGTGGCTGGACCCAGTGGGTGCTATTTGTCCAGCAGGTCCATTTCTGCGCATGGTGTCTGAGCTCCTCAGGTTTTGTTTTAAAAATGACTCGTGCTTGACTCCTGAAACAGAAACACCTTCTCAGGAACTTCCATATGAATTTCTTGGAGGAATTTTCCACCCGGGTCTGGTTATTGAGCACCCTTGTTCTCAGACAAACCCACCCCACAGCAGTCACCAATTTTCCATGATTTTCTCCATATTGGTTAAGTGAAAACTATGGGGTTTTGGGTTTTTGGATCATGGCAAAACACACCAGTTGCTGACTGCATCTCCTTCCCCCCGGATCCAGCATCAGAAAATTTCCTTTCGGTGGTTACATCGAAAGAGTCAAGGAAGAGGTAAAAGAGTAATTTCACATTTATTTATTTATTTATTTATTTGCAGGAAATCAGGCTTTGCAACATTTTTACCCCACAGTTAAACCTGAACCTGGGGTTATGTTTGCAAGAGGATGACAATCCCAAGGCAGGGTGAGGCCTTTGCGCCACCCTCGCAGGGAATCTGGCATTTCCCCATTTTTGGGTGCAAATCCTCATATTTCTGAGGTAAACCCCTCACTATTCTGCACACCCCGCCTTGACGAGCGCCACACGGGCTAAAATGGCGCGGGGTATGACGTCACGCTGTCGTCAGAACATCCCCCCGCCCGCTCCCGCTCTGTCTGCGCCCTCCCCGGCGGCGGTGACGCAGCGCT